GTTATCTTGAGACCCCATGCACAATAAATAGTCTGACCATTAACACTGGCCCTTCATCCATCCTATTTAATGAAATAGAAATTGAATATTTACTCATGTTGATACATTGAAACTTTCATGACTGGTTTATTCAGTTTTAATCTTCAGATTATGATAGATATATGAACACTGTACACTTTTGAATCTTTCGGATGTGAAAATGCATATTTCACAATCTATCATTTAAACCTGGTTTTAAAATTTGAACATGCATTTTGGATAGTATGGGTACAATAAAAAAGGGGGACAAATATATTTTGTCCTGTATCTTATTTAATTTTTAATCCCTCGATCCATGGCTTATTTTCACACCATCAGAATAATAAGTCTTCCTCCTCAAACTAGTGTCAGTAATTAGTAGATAAGTTTGTGCATGGGCTTTCAACTAGAAGGGTATGCAACTCTATGTAATAACATGAGATCTTCAAAATGAGCAATGACATGCTTCCCTTTTATGGCAATATTTCAAAAAGTATAAGAGTAAATGTATATGTTTTAGTATTATTTTGAATAAAAATCAATTTTTAATATGATTTAAGCATAAAATATATTCAATATCATATAAAAGTAAACAAAAGAGACCAATAAGAATAAGAGTTATCAAGATGTTCTCTTTGAGTATTGCATTGTGGGTAATTATTCAAGAACACATTCCAATAAAAACATAATTTGTGGGAGAATGTTCACTTTCTGTACTGTCATAATTATGATGAATTCCAATTTTTATTAAATTATCAAGATGTATGTACAAGATCATGTTTTTATTTTTGAGTTATTTCTTTTAATCATCAATAAAAAGTACAAAATAAGATTTTCTTGGAATGTGTACATTCTCCAATTTTGAAAACCCATGGCAATGTTTATGTATGAAATATGGGAAGTTGCCTACCCTTCTAGTTGAAAGCCCATGGTTTGTGTAATCCTGTCAAGTGTCACTCTAATGTTGTCATATCCTGTGTGCCTCTTTGATAACATCCCAAATGAAAGTGATAAGCAGGTTATATATGTAAGTAAGAAGATTGACTTTTGATATTAATATTTTGAATTATGAGCTCATAAGTCTACCTGAGTGACTTCTTCAGGATGGAAAAAAGGATGTGATTGTTAAATTGACCAAACAATTACTCTAAGATACAATATTTGTCTTGCAGTTTTGATTATATGTTACTTTTTAGCAACCTTTATTTCTCTTTAGTGGGTTGGGCAGAAATAGCCAAGACTAGTAATAATGCCCTCCCCAATGTATGTTTCTCCACATTTCACTGTATTCAGTTTAATGAACATCCCCAAAAATCACACACATTAGGTCAGTCGTCCATATAGTATTTACATTGGCCAATTACTTAAATTGCCATATTTTTGTGTCTTAGCACTAGACTGGCATTAGAGACCAATCTTGTGTATTACAAAGCGATATCCAATTAGTCATTTTTCCTCTTCTTGTATTTTCAGGTGGGAGGGGCCAAGTGGTAATGTCATTCCTGAGACTGGACGTATTAAGAGGGAGCATAGCAAGTTAATTATCAACAACGCACAGCAGATTGACACTGGCAACTATTCCTGTATTATACGTAACATCGCGGGTGAGAGGCGGGCCAACCTCAGCATCATCATATCAGGTGAATAGATGGCGCTTTGTAATACATGTTTTATTCTCCCGTGATTCTTAGGTTTAAATCAGATAAATAGATGGCACTTTATGTTTTTTTTCATTCCCTTGTGAAAGGTCTTCCATGCTTTCTACCTTCCTTTTCACCTGCAGCTGGCTGATTTAAATGTTTGATTTTTGAGATGTTGTTTCTAATAAAATGGAATTGTGGTCCTGAATGACTTAATTTTGTCGAGGCCTCT